TGGGCGGGCTGGGGAGGGCTGTTGCAGGCACCGCGGGCGAAGCACTGCCAGGGCCCCACCGCCGTGTAGGAAGAGGGCTTGGAGGAGCTGCTGTGTGGAGGACATACCCTAAAGCACCGTTCCTTTCCAGGAACAGTGGCGTTCTTCGGGTTTTTTGCCTTTTTTTTTTTTTTTTTAAGCAAAAGGGAATGTCGTCTGTTTTGCTCTCCCCCATGATATGTTGGTTTTGTGTGTTGCTAAGTTACAATTTAGAGATGAACCAATAAGTGAATTTGTGAAATCACTAATTCTCTGGAACTGTTGTGTGTCTGTGGGCAAACAAAGGGCGGTTTTGTTGCCAGTAAATATATTCAGTTATTCGAATGAGCTGTTGTTTGAGGAAATCCAAAGGAAATGAAATAGGACGACTTTTCAGGAAGAAAAAACATGAATGGAAGTTGCAAAGCTCCCCTTGGACAGTTTACTAGATGACTGAAGTTATGAGTCATAGAATGAAGATGAGAGTATGTTGTTAGCTAGAACCTTACCAATGAAGTACAAGCAGTGGCAGTGATTGAAATCACAGTATATAATCAGAGGGAGGAGGAATAGGTATGAGTAAAATAGAATATTATCAGAACAGTTATTGCTTGGGGTTCCCCCCCCCCAATATTCCTCAAGAAATCTAAAGATATCAGGCACAATATTGTTAGGATAACAGCAAAAAAGAAATTAAGCTTGTGCAAAATCAAACAATTGTTACAAGTCAAGTATGGATGATTTAATAGTAGTTGCTAATGGTGTAGTAAAGGCACTACCTATTTTTGTTATTATTGGACAAAACAGGATGAATTTTGCTGTGCAAGGACAATTGTGTAGACAAAAGGACAAAACTGTGTAGTTTTCTTATTTATAAGAAGGTTTTTTTGTATTTATAAGGTCAGTAATGTCAGTTGTGCATAACTGGCTGTTTGTAGTACTCGGCATCAATTGTGGAGATCTCTAGCTTGCTTACATTTGTTTTAGCGATACATATATCCTCTGACCATTACAAACATTACAGTTTCCCTAGTATTCCACAGGTTGGTTAGCCTGGTGGTGACCTTTAAATAATGGAAAAGCTGACAGGTGACCAAATACTTATGTAATTAATGAGTGGCTTTAATTGCATCTTTGATCATGTTTGATGCCACGGTGATGTCTTTCCTACCAGAAATTACAGACTTGATAGATAAACACCAATATAATAGATTTCTGTAAGGGCTTTGACTTTGGGATATTTCTGTTCTGTTCCCCCTCCCCCCAAATAATAAAATATCCCAATGTCATGAATGAAGTTCTTACGTGGCCAAATATCAAGGTTTGAAGCGAATGTGTTTATGTCTGTGTCACTGCAGAGGGGAGGGGTAACGGCAGGACATACAGGAGAATCACTTCACTTTGTTGAGTTTGATTTTGAAATAGTAATACAGTTCTAGTTTAAACAGATTATAATGGATATTTGGGTGGAAAAGATTGGATTGAACAGGTAAATAGGAATAATTCTGTAGTCTCAGGGCAAGATGCTTTCACCTGCCCTGGATTTTGACTGATTTTACTTATCAAAGACAAGATTGAGAGGCATCTTTATTTCAGTATGCATCTATGTCCCTTTACACTGTTGGTCTTTCTTACTTACTAGTTTTGGAACTACACTGAAAAAAAAAAACCCAAAAGCAGTAACTGGAAGCTTAAGTTTGGTAACCTCATTTGGGGTACTTAGATGTTAATCACAGCCATTAAAACACACACGTTAACTGTTAAAACAAGCTACCGGGGAAGTGATGTTGCCACATCTAAATTGGTGGTATCTTTTGGAGAGTTTCTTTAAAGCATGACTGATAATTCAGCTCAAACATAGAAGAAAAAAAGGTTTATTGTCTGGTGTCCAGGTTAGATTGAATGAGGCAATAAATTCTTTTAAGTTCTTTGAATAACACAATAATTCCCTGTGTTATTGCTCTGCATGTTGCCAATGCTTTGCCACTCCTTCCTATTCATATAAATACACAGAAATGTCTTGCTGTCAATAACAGTCGTACGTTCCAGAAAGGCTTTGTAACTGTAAAAGTAAATATGGGAACAGACTCTATTTGATGCTTTTAAAGAGCAAGTTAGCAGGCATTGGGATCATAGGTTAGCTTTTGCTGTATCATTGCATCAAGCAAAGACCAACTTCAGTGATTTCTGAGGATGGTTTTGAGACTTGTATCCTACAGGTTTTCTAATACTGCATTTGCAATAATTCTTTTAATTTCCTGAAGTAGTGATGTTACCTGTAATGAAATGGCAAGACCTTACATATGGTCTTCTTTAAAGTGAGCTTGCAGTACTTACGTCCAGGTCCATTGTCCTTTGTATTTTTCCTGTGTCTGCTTCTGATCATGAAGTTTGTTATTTAAACAACTTAAACTGGAAAGCAACTTTTTAATACTCAAACTGCATAGTTTCTGTAGCTTGCTGTTTGAGCTTTCAGTAGTATGGAAACAGTGGAAAAGGTGAGGTAGAGACTGACAAGCCAGATAAGAAAGCAATTTAAATCATAATAACTAGCCTCTGCTACTGGAATGCTTACTGCTGGTGGAGTGGAGTCATGCTGGAATCTTTCAGACAATGTTTATGATGGCGTATGTCTGCAGGATGACCTGCTTTACAAAATTACTTAATTGTTGGCAGTTCTTGAAGGGTGTAGAAAAGTGGTTCACAACTTAAACACAGCTGGAATGAAGACTTTTAACCATTGTAAGCACAACTCTAAAAAGGACAGCTAGCTAACTTTCAAAATCTGCATTTATTTCATGAGCATGCAATATGTAATGTACTGGTCAGTATTTATTTTTTATTTTATAATTGTTATAATTATTTTGTTTATTTTGCAATTCTTCGGCAAACAAATTTAATGCTTTTATATTTCTAGTTGCTGCTATTTGAGTCGAAGATTAAATCAGCTATCAAGCCATGATCCGTTGTGGAAAAGACACTGCAAGAAATACTGGCTTATTTCAGAGTAAGTGTGGTGGTTTTATGCCTTTTTTTTTTTTTTTTTTTTGGCTATGAAAATAAGGTTTATGTTATTGTGCTGTCTGTTTATGTCCACGTTACTTCTAGCAACTCTAAGATTGAATTGATGTTCACCAGCTTCTCACCAGCTTCAAACCGATGAAAGGTTAGAGGTATCAAAATGTTAATCTCCTAAAAAAGCTTCATGAATGTACAACTGTTAAAGTTTTGTGGATGGGTGGAAAAGAGGTGCCCTGTTAATACCTAGGCTGAAGGAGAAGCTGCAGTTTGACCTTATCAGACACCAAATATTCTACGGAGGAGTAATATTCTGAGTGCTGTAATTACGAGGGGTAGAACTGGATGATTGTTTCAAGGGTAGCCATGGCTGCAATCACAGAATAGTTGAGGTTAGAAGAGACCTTCTGAGCCAGGCCAACTCCCCTGCTTACACAGGGTCACCTAGAGCAGGTTGTCCAGGACCGTGTCCAGTGTTGTATCAGTGGCCACTGCTGAGAAGAGTCTGGCTCCATCTTTACTCCTTCCCATCACGTAATTGTGCACATTGATAAGATGCCCCCTGAGCCGCCTCTAGGCAGAAGAGTTCCAGCTTTCTCACCTTCCTCTCATGTGAAAGATCCTCCAATCCTATAATCAGTTTTGAGGCCCTGCACTGGACTTGTTCAAGCATGCCCATATCTTTCTTGTACTGGAGAGCTCAGAACTGAACACAGTACTCCAGATGTGGCCTCACTGGCGCTGACTAAAGAGGAAGGATCACATCCCTTGACCTGCTGGCAACAATTTTCCTACTATGGCCTAGGATACCGTTGGCCTTTTTTGCTGCGAGGGTGCATTGCTGGTTTGTGGTCAGCTTGGTGTCTACCAAGACCCCCAGGTTCTTCTCAGCAAAGCTGCTTTACAGCTGGTCAGCCCCGGTGTATACTGGTGTCTGGGGTTATTCCTCTCCAGGTGCAGGACTTTGCATTTCCCCTTGTTGAACAGGAGATTCTTCTCTGCCCTGTTTGTGCAGCCATTCAGAGAGACCTCAACATCTGCTGTATCAACCACTCCCCACAGTTCTGTAGCATCTGCAAACTTGCTGAGTATGTACTCTGTCCCATCATCCAGGTCACTAACAAAGATATTAAATAGTATTGGTCCCAGTACTGAGCCCTGGGGTACACCACAAGTGACTTGCCTCCAACTGACCTCCCTTGGGTCTGGTCATTCAGCCAGTTTTTGGTCCACCTCGCTATCTGCTTATCAAACCCATACTTTGTCAGCTTCTCTGTGATGGTATTAACAGAGAGTCAGTGTTGAAGGCTTCACTAAATTTGAGGTAAACAACATCCGCTGCTCTCCCCTCAACTATCAGGCGAGTCACCTCATTGTAGAAGGCTGTTGGGTTGGTCAAGCATTATTTACCCTTTGTAAATCTATGCTGACTGCTCCTGATCACCTTCTTGTCTTCCATGTGTTTGGAAATGCTTTCCAGGAGGATTTTCTCCATCATTTTCTCAGGGAAATCACACTGGGCTATGTAAAAAGTTTCACATATGTGGTTCTTGAGGTGTTGTGGTTTGTGTTTGGTTTTTTTTCTGTTCTGCTTGCTTGCATTGAACTCAGGATGTCTGTTAAGTGGAAGCTAACTATAATGCTATCAATCCATATCTTTGCTAAAAAAGAGGTTTTCTCCAAGAACTGAGAAAGCTCGTGGAGTTGACTGAAGTGAATTAGCAACCAGTTTTGTTACTGCTTATCCCCTCCTGTGTCCTGTTTTCTAGACAATATCTTTCTTTTTAGATTATAAATTGTGAGCAGGATTAACTATTTATGACTTCAGTGGTCAGTTCCATATATTTTTCCATTATTCAGGTTATGCAGGTGCACCTTGTATTACATGAGTAGCCTAAGATGGCAAGACAGCTAGTGATAAGGAGTTAATATATATGCATAAGTGGGTGGAGGAGGTAATTTAGGAAAACATTTCCCAAGTGGTAGTTTGTAATGTGTATTATAATGCGTATATCATATAGACCTTATTAAAAATTAACAGCAGACAAAGGTGATTCCACAAAGATAAACATACTGTGTGTATTCTAATGATATGCAGCTTATGAAGATATAACACAATTTGTAAAATTTTGTCTTGAGATTCTCCGCATAAAAATCCTAAGCGATATTCATACTAGAATCCAAACTAGAAAAGAAAATCTGGGGTGGGGGCATGCGGGCAGGGAAAGAAGGAGAGGAAATGGGACCTTCAAGCTGAGTACCTGATGCTTTAGAAGAGGAACTTCACGTAGACCGGGAGGAAGATGAGGGGGTTGTAGGGCTTTGCTTAGGAGAACTAGCTCAGGGTTAGTCTCTGAGATGCTGGCTTCTCCATAGCCAAGACAAAATGAGTAATGAAAGCTGTAGATAATTTCTACAAATAACATTTGGAGGGTGAAAATGCTGAATCTTCTGTTGCCTGCTGAGACATAATTCACTTTGGGATTTTTTTCTTTTACCTCTTTTGGTTTGACATTAGTCTGGGAAGTTAGATAAACTAAACTTACACTAATTTTTTTCCCTCCTCAACTCTTTTTGAAGTAGTAAGGTTCTTCTCTCCTTTTTAGAGCTAGAGAGATCTTAAAGCTTATGTGAAGACTTCTCAACTGTTACATTTTTATTTAGGTGTACAAACCTGTACTAGATCTTTTAGATACAGCATGCTGATTGGAGTTTGAGGAGTTGGAGTATATCCTAAAACAAAGATGCAAAGGCAGCTACAATTTGGAGGCAAGCATCCTTTGTAGATCTTAGTCAGCACTTTTTTGGCAGCCTGTCTTCCATAGCCTGCTGTTGTGCCTGTGAGGAGTACTGAATATGCAGTAATGCCTTAAGAAACTGCCTTTCCAGATCAGTGCACAGAGTTCTTATTTAACTCTTTGGTTTGCTCCTTAATCCTTCTTATTGGGTAGACAAAGGAGTTTGTGACTAATGCAGTAAATCAGAAAATTAGATTTATTTTTTTTAAGGCCTTCTCTGTGCGTGTGTAAAATGTGATCTGGATTAGCTATTCAGCAGTTCTAAAAGTTAATAATAGACAGCACTCTGTTTAAAGGAATACTTTTTCCAAATTTTACTTCGATACTAAGTACCCCTAATGTTTTCTAATTCTGTTGCAAGTTGCTGTGGAATAGATGCCAGAATTAATTGAGTTTGTGTAGCTTCACGTGACTCAGTGTTCCTGGCTTAATGTTATGCATACTGTTTCTGCCAAATAACAAATACTAACTTCTTGATTTTAGAAGTCAGGGTTTTTAGGCTGGTCTTTAAACTTACTGTCTTCGTGTCCACTTAGAGAGGAAAAAAGTCAACGAAATCAGAGCTGGAAAGCCATCTTCATCAGTACCTACTCTGACCTAGGAAGATACATCCGGTACTATGCTACATTGAAAAAAGCCTGGGATGACCTAGAAAAATACTTAGGACAGCGATGCCCTCGGATGATTGGTTCTTTGAAAGGTACGGTGTTAATACCTGCTTTCTCTAGTAGCTTGGCTGATGCGACATTATCTGTTATTAAGTTTCATAGTGCTTTCATCCTAGCTCTGCGCCTCAAGTACCAGAGCCCTGAAGTCAAGTAGATGTGCTTTCCCTTCCCCTCCAGTAAATAAGTAAATCAGACTACATGCATACTCCTTGCCCAGTTACTAGTGGTGCAAGGTTCTCTGAAGATTTCTTTTCAGAGAAGAAACCAAGATTTTTTTTTTTTTGTTCTAGTGCCCAGTCTATCTTCTATATCTCCTGGATAATCAGGAAGTTAATACTCTTTTACTGTTTTTGTCTTTGGTTGCTATGACTGATTTTTTTTTTTCTGTTTAATTAAGTTTTAGTTTAAGAATCCCACTGCTGCAAGGACTTGGGACCTGTTGGTGTGATTTTTTGTGAGATTTTTTTTTAAGACCCAACTAAAACACCTTCACATGAAAACAGGCATTGTAAACTAAAGCCAAACAAAAAGGAAGTATTGAGTTTTTTTCTCTTCTGTAGGTCTTACTATGGTCTTCTAATGAAGGTAAATTAGTGGCCAAAAGAGAATTTTTACTTCCACTTCCCCCCCCCGCCGAGATTATTTTTAAATTAAGTTTGTGTTTTAATACTTGAAGTACTTCCAGTATTCTGGTTCATAAGACATACAGCAAGTTTGGGCTTTTCTGTTATAGGGACAAAATAGCTCTTACATTTTCAGCTGTGCTTCAGTCTTCTGTGTGAAGTTGACTATTAGACCAAGATGCTTGATTTAACATGATTTGTGAAATTAAGAGAAATCTGTAGAACGTGATCTCTTTATGATGTAAATCTTACATGTTTCTTGGCTTGCTGGATAGTGCCAGATTCTTAAGTTGTGCTAAGTATTTGTGAGTAAAAGAACACAGTTAGAATTTAACATTTACTGTTTTCTTTAAAGATTTTTTTTGTTTGTTTTTTGTTATGTCTAAGTGTTAGTGAAGGAATGTCTTTTTAGGAGAAGGTCAGAGGGGTTATATGTAGCCTGAATTCTTGCGTAACACAGGCCGGGATACTTGATGTAGAGATCCATGCCTTGATTCTGTAACTTCCATGCTGCTCTATTGAAAACATAGACTTCACTCAGCTATACAAAACCACTGAATTGTCAGTCAAATATTTTTGTTAATAAAATGGAAAGTGTCTGTGTTGGAGGTGTTGAAATGGAACAGATTTTTACTTTCAAAATCCTCCCTAGGAATTTGATGCAATGAAGCTTCTGTTTGTCTACAGAAAGACAAAAATGAATTTAAAATTATCAATTTCCACACTTGTATAGTGATGGCAGGTTTTAGCAGGAGCTCTTCCATAACTTACACCTTTTTAAAACCATTTGTACAGGATCTTGTCTCAATGCATTGTTAAATTATGCCATATAAATGAAACTAATAACAAATATGAAAAGGGCTTAAAAAATAAAATTGCCAAAAAAATCTTGATTGGAATAGACCACACAGGCCACCCAGTTGATCTTTGGTAGAAGTGAGGGTGTGGAAACCCCCACAAAGTGTGTGTGGAGGTCTAGGAGTAGTCACTTCCCACCCCTTCTATTGATGATGATATGAAAATGCCCCTGTTACAACTCATTTATTGCTTCAAATTCCAGGTGAACGGTGACTGCAGCCAACATTTCTTTGTTACAGATTGGACTGGAAACTGAAAGAAGCAACCCTTAGAATGAAGAAAGTAAAATCAATATTGCCTAACAATTTTAAGTGGGACTCTGTCAGCTAATGACAATACTGTGGGGAAAAGGTTCATTTCACTTCATAAGTACTTTCTGCTTGTCAGGCCTGTTGAGATTTCATTGGTGGAGATTGGTGCTGTATTAAGTAATCGGTTAATGTAGCCAGCTTCCTTTCAAATTCATGTATCCTAGGTGGCACAGAATGAAGTCTCCAGATATTGACTTGAGTCCATGTTTGTTTGATCAAGGCACTTACGATTTCCATGCTTTGTATTTGAAATACTTGATTTCTAGCGATTCTGGCCACTAACATGAATTTAATCAGTGGAAGATTCTTGAGACCATACTAGTAGACAGCTGTGTCCCAAAGTTGAACTGAATTTATCTTGCTTTTGTATGTCTGTTAGTTCACTTTGTCTGAATTATAAGTGGCAAAACACTTCGAAATATGTATTTCTTCTATGGTAACAACAACAACAACAAAAAAATCCACAGTGGTAAAGTTGCTGGGGCTACTTAAAATTCTCTTTGACAGTTGGAAACATGCTGTTATGCCTAGAATGTAGCTAGTTTTTTGCCTTATTTCTAGCCATGCAGCTCTGATGAAATGATGTGAAATAAAATTTTAAAGGAGAGGTCTTAACACAAATTCTAATATTCACCTTTTTGAGGAACAGCATACTGGGCTTGATTCCCCCTCCAAAACTGCCACTTAATACTCCTATTTCTTTTTGTACACAGAGAGTGTGCGGGAGGAAGATCTAGATGCTGTGGAAGCACAAATAGGTTGCAAACTTCCTGATGACTATCGATGTTCGTTTCGTATTCATAATGGACAGAAGCTAGTTGTTCCTGGGTAAGGAGTGAAAACTACATACCAAGTTACTAATTCCTTTTATATTCCTTGGATACTTTATTTATTAAAAAGAGAAAACATCTGCTGAACAGGATAGATGAAGCATTAAATATGTTGTAACTGAGTGACTGCTTGAAGTGACACTTCTAGATTTGGCTATCTTCTAGTCTCAGAAGTAATTAAGAACACAGTATAGATTTCTAATTGCTCAAATTACTACTTTTCCTAGTGAAAAGCTTTTTTTTTGGTAACAACTAAAACTTCCAACTGTTAGACTTTTAATCATACAATTGCAAGTTGCTCCCCTGAAGTTTTGCTTTGTATTACATAAGTAAATTAGCCTCCTGCACTCTTCAGGTATCATTATTTAATAACTTTTTTCTTTAAAATAGTTAGGGAATAACTTGCAAACCAGGTAGTCATTTTAAGTAGAATGAAAAGGTCAGTTCTGCAAATTAAGTTTTCTCAGTAGAAGATTTTACAGTTTTATGCAGTTTCAGCAATTAAAAACTCCTTTTACATAAGGTTAGAGGGTGAATGACCAAACAGTTTCCCACCTTTCGGCTATAGAAAAAGTTCACAGGTCAGCGCTTAATGTAAGTGCCGCAAACAACAGCAGAAAATGGAAAGCTAGGGCAAATCATTGCAGTGTCTGCAAGGGGCAAGGCGTTCATGTTGCTCTGCCAAAGCCTTCACTAGTGAAGAAGGTGCAGCTTTCTCCAATTCTAGTATTGTATGTGCAGAAGGGATATGGGAAACCATTTTTATGCAGCCATAAGGATGACTTTTAGGTCTGATGTGGGACCCTGGAGCCAGAAAGGCTGCCACCCTGCGAGTGGAGGGAGTAGTCTTACTGCTTGCTTTCTTGTGGGAGATAAATACTGGAAATACCAGGTGTAGGTAGTGAAAGTCTATGCAGCAAGTTGTTGGCATGTTAGACCAGAAATAGAGATTTGGTACTAGTTGTCATTGTTTGATGCTTCAGGTTTCTGTGTTTGGATGTTAGCGTCGCTTTTTAAACTGTAGAACATGCTAATTCCAGGCAAGACTACGTAAGGAAAAAGAGGAATGGAACCTGTTGCCCAAGATTGGAGCAGCTTATATCGTGCTGACGTGTGGCAGCTTGTGCCTGAGTCACTGCTTTCATAACACCAGTAAAAGCTTAGCATCTGCAAGCATTTACTTCTGAGAACGTCGTGAAAGGCAAATTAGAAGGGAGTATGGGTGGGGAGGTGTATATTACAGGTTTGTGTACTCTTATTGCTAAGCACACTGCTGTAGTGTGTGCCCTTGTAGTTGATTAATTTGCTCATGTTACCCCCTTTATCATTCTTCCATTGTCTGCTCCTTTATTACATTGAGTATAGGTTGCTTGGTTTTTTTTATTTTCAGTCTAGCTCTCATCTAGCCCAAAATTCATGTCAATGTTAACTTTAGCTTCCGATGCTCACCTCCATTCCTAATCTGTTACGTATTTCATATTAGTACTACTTTTTTCCAAATGTGTACATTTTCTTATGTATAGAGAGGCTCCTTTCACTGTCTTCAGTGTCACTTCCTTATTGTCAAAACCAACCAAACGAATAAAAAAACCCCATCCTTTGCTGTGGTGCCTACAAAAAGCTAGAGGAAAAAATCAGACAGACAGTTGATGGTCTTGCCATGTCATGCTGATGAATATTGTCTCATTCTTTCCTTGTATGTCTGTTTACTTGTGTCTGTGTGCCTTAGCTTTTACAGTGAGATTACAGTCTCTCTTCAATGGTAATTTTGCTTGTTTACTGCTCAACCTTTTCTCCAAAGCATAAAGCACCTTGCTCACTGTAGTTTTGATCGATGACTGTTATTATAGCAGCTTGGTATTTTCATTGAAAAATCCTGGGTGCTTTGATAGTATTGAAATGAACTCGCACAAAATTTGAGATGAGGAGCACCGGTTATTATCATATTATGCTACTATAGGAAGCTGCATCAGCTGTGAACGGCTTCTTTGAAGTAGTTGCAGACTTGATGGGAATCACCAACACAGTTTAAAATGGTGTTTTGGGATGCATAAAACATACAAGGAAGTGTTTATCTTAGAGCCATCAAGCCTCCCTTTGTGAAGGTTGATGTTGAGAACTGATAACAGAGTTCAGCACCTGGATGTTAGACTTGGACTTCATCTAAGTCTAATACGCATCTAGAACATTGATAGAATCAATGCTTAGAAAATATTTAAAGCTATCTTTGCCTTGTAAGTGGTATCTTCTGTTTATCTTTCCTTTTTTGTTGTTGTTGTCTCTTAAGTTTGATGGGAAGCATGGCACTGTCGAACCACTACCGCTCTGAAGACTTGTTGGATATCGACACAGCGGCTGGAGGTTTTCAGCAGAGGCTAGGTCTGAAGCAATGCCTTCCTCTTACTTTTTGCATTCATACTGGCCTGAGTCAATACATGGCCCTGGAGAGTGTGGAGGGACGAAATAAATACGAGATCTTCTATCAATGTCCAGTAAGGAAGATACGTTTATACATGGGAATGTACTTTTCTAATGATTGATGGTGTCCCTTTGCATGTTATCAGATACCTGAAATATTTTACATGGCAGAAGGTGACCATGCTAGTTTGTTGCTTGCCCTTGAGTTGCCATCTGGTTTGCATCAAAGCCCCCAAGTGGGATGGTTAGTAAGTGAAAGCAATTTACATGAAGTTGTTAGTGGCTATAGCAGTTTCTGTAGGTTCATGATGGTGGGCAACAGTCATCCTTATTGGAAGATTTTTATTTTTTTTTTTCACACTATGGCAAGTATATACTCTTGTATATATTCTTTCTGTAAGGAAGAAAAGCTTCTCCATTATGGAAGATCAGATATGTTAAATGTAAACTTACAACAATAAATGATACCCCATGGTTTGTAAGCAAAACTTACTCTCCAGTGAAAGAACAAATTGCTCTTGAACAGGTTCTTTGTAGAATGTAATTATTTGAGTATTTTTAATAATTCTTATAGCTGTAGTATTTTAAGATGGCCATATTTTTGCTAGTGAAGCTTAAGGATATTATACCTAACAAGAATTTAGCACTTTCTCTCCTTATCTGTGTCCTGATGACTTTCCCCCCACCAAAAGAAGGTGGGGTGAGTAAAGGGTGTTTCTTGTAAAAAAAGGTGGGGATCTTCATCTTGCTATGGAGTTCCTGGCAGGTTTTGTTTTTTTTTTTTCCAAAGCCTGTAGCAATGAGATTTCTAGGGAATGCCTTGATAATGGATCACTTGAAGGATCTTAAGGCCCCACTTTCTATTATGCTGAGTATTTAAACCTTCTGGAGTATTTAAACCTGGATAATGCTTCGGAACTTGGAAGATTACTGACACACTTAGATGTTGGTTCATCTGTGGACAGCCCTGCTTTTTTCAGGGGAGAATATGGTAGTACAGGAGCTGGGATTGTTTAGCCTGGAGAACCTCGAGAATCTTACCAATGTGTATAAATATCTGATAGCAGGGCATAAAGAAATCAAAGCTAGAATCTTCTCAGTGATGCATGCCCAGTGACAGAAGAAGAGGCAATGGGCACAAGTTGAAACACAGGAAACTTGATCTGGACGTCCACAAAAATGTTGTTACTGTGAGTGTGGTTGAACACTAGAACAGGTTACTCTGAGAGGTTGTGTAGTTTCTGTCCTTGGAGAGTCAAAACTCAGCCGGACATGATCCTGGGCAACGTGCTATAGCTAAGCTTGCCTCAAACCAGAGGGATTAGACAGATCATCTCCAGAGGTCTCTTCCAACCTCAGCCTTTCTGTGCTTCTGTTTTAAGGCAGTATTTTTGGGGGCCTTGTTTCTTGAATGATGCGTTAAATCTGATTTTATATGCATGAGCCTGAGTGGAATGTTCAAGCTGTATATTCAGTGATCACATAGGCACTCACGGGGACAGGCATGTGTGCTTTCTATGTTTGAATATCTGACTGGGAGTATAATGATGTAGTAAGCAGCCAGATTTCACGTTTAGTGAATATAGGGAAAGGGTTCCCTGTATCCTGTTTCAGGTGTTGCATTTTAACCTTGAAAGTCTAAGGTTGTCCTTCTAATACATCCATAAACTTCTTCCCCTTTTAGGACCAAATGGCTCGCAATCCATCTGCTATTGATATGTTCATTACAGGTAATACTTTAGCTAAAATATTCTGCAAAATGTTTTAATTGTGCTGTTTAGAAAATGCACGTCAGTATGACTTGAACAGAGCAAGCGTTCTGAATTTTCTGTGCTGCTTGTAAGACTCTAACCTACTTTAAAATATCAGTGGTTATTTGAAATGAGATGCAAGTTTTCTCTATTAAAGCTTGTCCTTCTGTGTGTCTTGTATACAAATCATTCGGTGTACTAACCTGTCTAACAAGATGAGCAAAACCTTTAAGTTAGCCATCATGGGGGTGACGTAAGCAGTTATTAAATACAACACCCAAGTGGACAGAAAGATTTTTTTTTTTCTAGTAGTTTTTGTAGCCATGTTAGAAGTTGGAAATATTTTGTGTCCCTTGATGAAATCTAATTAACTATAAGCGTGGCTGCAGAAGATGACCTTTCTGAATTTTTGATTTGCCTGGTTGCTTTGTTCAAAGGATAAAGGAGGGAAGGGGGAAACTGTGTAATTGTAGCTTGGTTGTGTAGCAGTCTGTCATGATCATCTGTCTGACATGTACGTTGACTGGAATAGTGATTTGATTATTTCTTTTTGTTAATCCACTGGAATCTGGTAATTGTGGCTATGTGTAAGTTAATTCCTTTCACTCAGTGGGAAAGCAGATGTGTAATAAATGGCACCAAAATTAATATTCAAATTTAACCTTGCACGTTTCTTAGGATATATGATTTAATATTACCATGAGAAAGCATGTTAGGGAGTGCTGTACCATTGCTGGTTTGGGTTGAAGGTAGTCAAACTCTTAGCAACGCTAATTTTAGGAAACCTTTTTATGTCCTGATTGATTGTATGAACTGATTTCAATGTGAAGTAGTCAACCTGTCATCTCTTTTACAAAAGGATTTACAAAGGATTTTGTGTGCTTTAGAACCATCATAGGAAAGATATAGCAAAAACTCAAGAGTTTCATTACTTGCCTCTTTCCACCTGACGATGATGTAATACTTTAAAGGTACTCTATGGTGAATTGGTATTGCTGCTCAAAGTTGCTGCTTTTAAGGAATTGAGTCAATGGTGAGGTGATCTGACATCATATTTAAATGTATTCCACTTGGCTGAAAGGGTTAATCCTGGCTTATCGCAGGGTGGAGGGGAAGTTTTATATACAGCGTTTATCTTGTAATTTTGAGGGTGGCAGGGTAAATTGGTCCTCTTTCTCCATTTGGAGTTACTTTATACAAGGTTTGCATTTTGTGGATTAGTCGTAGAAAGGAGGATAATAAACTTGGAGTTCCTTAGACTTCCAAAAGATCAAAGGACAGTACACATAGCTCTTGCTCAGAGGAAGAAGTGGTAAGTATGCTTAATCTAACAGGAATGGTAGTACTTGATAACACATCAGTGAAGGTAAGGATAACGATTTCTTAGTATTTCAGCTTAAATCCAGTTTTGTATCAGTAATACTGACAAATAGTCAGACAGACAAAGAACTGTGCTTTTTCTGTTGAACTTTATATTGCAATGCTTGGAAGATTTATGGTTGAGCAATTCTTTTATGGAGAGCTGTTACATCTTGTATGAAACTCTCGTCTCAGAGTTAAATTTGACAGCTTGACTGTCCACTTAGAAATCAAGCTGTTTCTAAATAATGGCTCTAGGTGGATGAAAAGCTGTTCTCAGACAATGGCTGTAAGTGTTATGAAAATCACAGGTTCTTCAGAATGACATACAGCCTTAGTCTTCTGGGTTTGTAGCAGGAGTGCGGAGTATATCTATGACTTCTACCTGTTTTTAAAGAGCGGGAAATTCTGCAACTTTCTAGCATGCTTCTTGGAAACTCTGTTCATGTGGAAACCTGGATATCAAAACTACATCCGTAAATCCACCAGTAGGCTTGCATGCCTCTTGTAGGTAGACTAGCTGGAAATAGGTATACAAGTACTATAGGCCACTATACCTGTCTTCTTTCCCAGTCATAGCAGAACAGTCATGAGCTGGAAACCAGATGATGACAGACACGAGCTTTTGAAGACCGTGATTATAATGTGAAATACTTAGCTAAGAGATTCTTTGTTTGCTGTGTCATTTCTGGAGTATGCACCCTTAACTCTTAGTTCTTGATTGGTTTCTCCAAATGATCTTTATTGGTAGAATGGACTGGAATATTGACTGACTTATTTAGATAAGTCTGAGAGTTTATTATAAAAATATTCAAAGTTTCAAACTGTTTCCTTGAAGTATTTATTGTAATGTGCTTAGTGGTAAATTTGCCTGTCCTTATGAATTCTTTTCTTCTTTGGCATCTAGGTACATCTTACTTGGAATGGTTTACATCCTATGTAAACAAAGTTGTAACTGGTGGTTATCCAATCATCAGAGACCAGATTTTCAGGTATTGCTACTGGGATTTATAACCTCACTGCAAGGTTTTGATACTTTTAGAATGTTGACTTCTTTTCAAGTAGTTATGGGTATCTGTTACAAAAGCTGATGGTGGAGGGAGAAGAAAGCATGTGAAACATATTGAAGATAAAGCTGTAAAACAGAATGCCTAAAGAAACTTTTTTTTTTTACCAGAAGCTTCAGAGTTTGTAACTTTGCATTAATGGGACCAGAATTTTGCATCATAACTGATCTGAAGTTCAGCTAACAGTATAAGATTTATTCTCCGTGCCATGACTGTGCTGCTGCTGCTGCAAGACTGTTCTGAGTTATTAAAAAAGCAATTGTTTCTGCAAGCTTGTCTCTAAAATAACACTGTTAAATATATATATAAAAACAGGACTTGTTCTGGTGTTTGAATCTTCCTGCACTTCAAATTTCTTCTAAGTACAAGGAAGAACCTTAATTCTGTCAAATTAAGATGCTATAGAACCAAGTTCCTGATCTGTAAATTAATTTGCTGTAGGAGTTTCTAGTTTGTTTTTTTTTAAATAGCATAATGACACATCCTTATCAAACAAGTGTGTTTTCATTGACTTCAGATCAGATTATACACCTAGCTTAATACAAGCATTAATGGAGGGACAAAGAGATCCACAGCTGTATGAATTTAGGTGACAGGGAAGTATACATCATAAAGACACTGCATACATACATCCTTTATTTAACTGCCAAATGGCAAATTAAGAATTACTTTTACCTTAGCACCACAGTGCTCTTATTAGTAACTAACTAATCACTTCACATGTTTAGTTTTCTGTGTTGAATTTACAGAGCTATTTGCAGAGTTAATGTTTTCCTTTTTGTAGATATGTGCATGATAAAGAATGTGTTGCTACCACAGGAGATATTACTGTTTCTGTGTCCACATCTTTTCTACCTGAACTCAGTTCTGTACATCCACCACATTATTTCTTCACTTACAGAATCAGGTAAAAATAACAACTGAATTAACTCTTACAACACAGGAAAGATCTATGTGATGTTCAAAGGATCAGTTATTGCAAATTTATGCACAGTATTCATAAACATACTGAAATGAATAGGATGCGCTCAACATTTTAATAATACTTTTTAATAAAAAAATAGTAAATCATTACCTGGTAAGGTATGCAAAGAGCCAGTCAAATTGGTAACTGGTAAAGTACAGTGGTTGGTGGGGGAAAGAAGTTACGAGTAACTCTTGAGATTTAGAAGGGACTAGATGACAATAGATAGGAAAGCAGAGGCATGGAGATGGATCCTGACAACTGATTCAGTACACTTTACCTTAGGGGATTTTTTTGCCCAGTCTTCTCGGAGAGAGATCCTAAGAATACTAAAGCATTTCTTAAAACATATGAAAGTAGTTTCATAACCATTAAGTATGCTATTTGGCTTCTAGAATTGAAATGTCCAAAGATGCTCTTCCTGAGAAGGCTTGTCAGCTGGACAGTCGATACTGGAGAATAACAAATGCCAAAGGTGACGTAGAAGAAGTTCAGGGTCCTGGAGTAGTTGGTAAGTAAAAGATTGCTTTTACGAAACCAATAGAGAGAGAGTTTTTGTATTTAATGTACATGTTATGAAAGTTACGTTATTAGCTGTTCATCATGGTGACAGAGAGTAGTAGTTGTATGGTTTGTATCAAAATCATTTTGTTGCTTGAAAGAGAGAGAGATGTATCCATCCGTTTTGTCTTGCAAGTTGTTTTGCAAGGGATGTCTGAAGATCCTGATAGTTAACTGCTCTTCAGACAGTTTTTTGAGATAAATAATTGCTGAGAATCATTTAGGCATCCACTGGAATATAAAATGATCTGCCTAAATATGTTGTGGAGTGCAAGTGCTTTAGCAAATGGCTAAACTGAAATTTTACTTCAGTCTTTACTATTGTGATCTAATACTTTACCAACAGGGGAGTTTCCAATTATCAGTCCGGGGAGAGTCTATGAATATACCAGCTGTACTACTTTTTCCACAACATCTGGGTATATGGAAGGGTATTACACCTTCCATTGCCTCTACTACAAGGACAAATTCTTTAACGTCACAATTCCCAGATTTCATATGGTGTGTCCAACATTCAAGGTGTCTACGGCACGAATGGTAAGTGGAGATGCAGTTGTGCTTATCCTAGATTTCTTTTTTCCCCTGACCTCTTTTTTTCCCAAGGACACTTAGATTAATTTCAACAGGACAGTGTAATTGTGTTTAAACTTCAATGTCATGTAATTTTTCAGTTTTGATTCTTTTCTTGAAAATCCCTGCTTTTTTTAGAACTGTTTCTCAAAAAAAAAAAAGTCATCTAAAAGTATCACTCGGTCTGTATGAATTCTTTTCAGCCTCTGGAGCATTTATTGATAAGAAACACTCCTGGTGCAAAAATTACAGTACTTTACAGTATTCAGATTGATAACTCCACATAAAACATGCTCCAATTAAGACTAAGTCTAGCAACTGTAGTAATCTTTGTAGGTAGTTTGTACATTGGTAAAGCCATGTATCCTTATTGCTCTGACTGTAGTGCTACTAGTTTAATTCAAGATCCTCAGCCCTAGCTTTCATAGGACACCATACATGGCTATGGGTCTTCCTCCTCAAGTCCCCATCTTGGTATCGAGGTCACACCTGGTTGTATCAGTGAGATCAGGGGCCCTGTGGGTTCTTGACAGAGGTAGAACGTGACCGTTCTGTTGTACTGTGTCTGAAAACAGCTGCCCCTCAGGATGCACAGAAATACCTATCTGTGTGTGTGTATGTATGTCTTCAGGGCATATTTCTGATCATGCAGACTACAGCAGTGTTGAGCTTGCTTTGCTTGTTTTGCTTTAAGGAGCTATCTCACTTCTTAATTTGTACCTAGAAACAGGGCATTGCATTAGCTGTTTGGATTGGGTCTCTTCCTTATCTCTTCTCCCAAGTAACTAGCGACAGAATGAGAGGAAGTGGCCTCAAGTTGCACCAGGGGAGGTTTAGATTGGATATTAGGAAAAATTTCTTTACTGACAGAGTGGTCAAGCATTGGAACAGGCTGCCCAGGGAGGTGGTGGGGTCACCATCACTGGAAGTGTTCAAAAAAACGTGTGGACATGGCACTTCAGAATGTGGTTTGTGGGCATGGTGGTGTTGGGTTGATGGTTGGACTTGATGATCTTTAAAGGTCTTTTCCAACCTTATTGATTCTGTGATTTCATAGTTCTTTCAAATATTCCATCTTGGTATGACCACACTGTCATCTGTTTTAGTCATAATAGCTGATTTACTTTCTCCAAGGAAAGTTTCAGTTAATAACAATCTAAAAATGATAGCAGTCCATATGACGTTCATTAGTTCTCACTGAAAGTGCCTTTCATAAAGTCATTTAATGACTTTGCAGATTGTCAAGATATTTAGCTTGCTGTTAATTATAATGTAGTTTTAGTTTGGAGATTGCAGGTGAACTATGTAATTTCTTCCTTTGCTTTGGCACACTTAGAGAAGAACGCTCTATTGCAGGGGGGTTGAACTAGATGACCATAAAAGGTTCCTTCCAGCCCAAAGACTCTATGATTTATTTTATCACTAGCATAGCCCTTATTAAGTGACTAATTCAGAAAGAACTTGAAAGTTTTTGTGTGAGCATGGAGTCTTTCCGTGGGGGTGGACATCTACTTGTACACTTCCTCACGTTTTTCTAGGAATTTGAGATGCTTGTTACCAGTAGCTCTAACAGTAAGTGCCAGCAGATGTCATGCTTCTAACAGAAAACGGCATCTCTTAACTCTTGCTCACATTTATGGGAGTTGTAACCTCCTTCTATTCAGTTGACTGTAAAAATAATTTGCTTTACTCTTTTGCTCTACTTCTGTTTTAAAGGTAGTAATGACCCTTTGTTTTTAAACTACTTTTAATAAAAGACAATGTAAGCCACCAAGAAAATTGGTACAGCGAAGATACTGAATTGTGGCTTTACATAGTTGTATGTATGAAATAATGACGGCTAATGGATATTTACTGAGTTAAAGGTCAAGCCATTTGGCAAAATGATCTCTATTGCAAATTAAACTTTGTAATTGTAAGGAGCTGGTTTTAGGATGTAGCTTGCAATGTCTACTTCAGCTAATTGACACAATAATGCAGACCAGATTTTTCCAGGCAATTGTTAGTGCTTTCTTATAACTAGCTGGAATAGAAGATTTTAATTAAATATGGATGTGTTTTGAATTAGGAAACAAATCATAACGAATACGCAGTGGATGAAGACGAAGATTCCACAGACACTGATGAATACGAAGATCGACGTAGAGTGTTGGACATTCCTGCACCTTCTGGACGCTGCCCACGTCATACCTGATGGGACTTATTTCAAAACAAAATAAACTGTTTTCAGAAGCTGAACTCTTTGGGGCTAGTGCATAAGAATATTTCTGACTATTCTAAATGAACTTTCTGTTGCACATCAGGGCAACTAGCATGAATGTTGGTGCCAGTTCTAATATTCATCAGAGTATAACTTTTTTTTTTTCCCCTGGTTTGGCAGTGGGGAGAGGGCTTGGGGGGGCAGCGGGAGGGAGGGAGAGGAAAAGAAAGGTGTTTGGGCTTTGTTCACTTTTTTTCAGAAGTGCAAAACAGCTTGATAGTTGGAGGTCATCGTATCTTACATTTTTAAGCTATTGCCTATTTATGATCATATTGCAAATGTGGTGTGGGGATTTGTTTTTATACAAGCATTTAAAATTAGCAATAGACAAGATGGCAAAAAAGGTGTATACTATTGTCCTTTCTCATGAGTTTCTACTCTTGATAACTCCTACTAAGAATGAAACTTGCAGTTTGGTCTGTGTGTCCCATTTGGGTGAGATCAGGTGCTCTTATGCTTTTTTTTTTTATTAACATAGAAGTACCAGAAAATTCTGGTCATCAAATGCGTAAATTAGGAATGAAACTGGCCTTATTTTTAGACAATCTGTCTTTCAGCTTAATTTTACGCTAAGTGACTCTGATTGGATAACGCCTTTGGAATGTAGTGTATATGCAAAATCTGCCACTGGGTAACCAAGAAATTTCTCAATAACTACAAGGTATGAATTTGTAAATAGGTTTTGGGTTTTTTCTTTATATGATGTTTGCTGTTCTGACTTTGTCACAGGTGACAAATTTATGTTGAAGTATCATGTTTCCCTAAATCCTCTATGAAATTTTGTAACTACGCCTGAATAAAAAAAAGAAAAGAAAAAAAGAGCCTGACAGAACACCAGATGACTAGAAACTTTATATTTAAAGAAGTATTTGTTTGCTTTATCACTTTTATTTTGTTTCCATTGTCACTAATAAACAACTTAACTGCCTCCTTCGCTCTGATGCGCTACATGGGATTCTTCTTGCCAAGACTCAAAACAATAATTGTGTGACTAGCATCGCTGTAGTCAGTTCCTCTTTTTGAAATCCAGAATTAGTAGCTCCCATGAGGAAACCCAGTATATTGTGGTTCCAGCTGAATGTTTCCATTATTGACTAGTTACTGCTCATACAGAAAGCCTGGTTTGTTTGTTTGGTTTTTTTACAAGTCATAGTATTAGATTCTCTGTGTGCTCATCTTTCTTTAGTGCCACCCAGCATTTGGATCTTCCACGGTGGTATAAGGTAGAAAAACAAATACTGAGTATGACCCTTAATGAAACATCTGGAGAAACAAAAACATTTGTGTTGTCCCTCACAGAAGTCTGAACAGCACTATGAATTGCTGCAGTGGTTTAAAACTGTTTCCATTTTAAGGATTCCTCAGTCTTAATGTGATGTTTGTGGTGTAATGCTTTCTCTTCACAGAAGTTTAATCATCTGTTAAAAAGATCAGTAAAAAAAAAAAAAAGGATTTAGTGGAACTAGAACTTATTGCAGTGCTGTAAGTTTATGCTGTGTTTTTAAGGACAGATAACTCATGGTCGGAGGCTTGCTTGGTACTTTTCCAGGATCTCTGTTCTAGTGAAGTGATACCAGCTGAAGGTCATAAAGCACTACAGAAACACTCCCAACTCTTGGTGATTTTAGTCTTCTCAGGGAGTGGTTCTCCCTCAGGTTGTTAAAGAGGAACTTTAATCATCTCTTACTGTAGAAGCAGCCAAGATCGAGGACAGTGCTATTCTGTCAGCTTCTGAGCACTGAGGTGTGAGGGTTTGAGGCCTCCGAGGTAAGCTCAGCTGGTGGTCACAGGACTCCTGTGAACTGTGCATGTATGAAGTGAGCAGGCAGCCAGATGGAGGGAAGGACATGTCCCTGTTACTGTACCCTTGTAACAAGAAAAAGGTTATCCCATTCCTTCAGGCAGCTGTTTCAGCACATGGCACGACACCTAAAGTTACCAGATGCAGTGTCGCTGCAAGCGTTGTAACTCTGCATTACGTGCATTTGAAGTAGAACCATGCCAGCGGTTCTCTTCACCCCACCCAAAACTCAAGCTTATGCCAAGTTGGTATGAAAAGTGAGGCGGCTGAGTCCGCTGGAGAAAACAAGAGGTTATGCTTGCCAGCACTGCTGGGCTGTAGACATCTTCACTGAGAAAGCGGGAGAGAACTGACTCAAGATCCCGTGTCAGAAGACTGCACTTCGCCAGTGCTCTGACTGAGCAAGCAGTACAAGCCACCATCCTTCAGGTTCAGCCTGAAGTTCTGTCAGTACCTGAAGGGCCTACAAGAAAGCTGGAGAGAGACTTTTTACAAGGACATGTAGTGATAGGACAAGGGGTAATGGCTTTAAACTGAAAAAGGGTAGGGAAGACTTATTTTTTTATGAAAGGTTTGGTGAGGCACTGGAACAGGTTGTCCGGAGAAGTTGTGGATGCCCCATCCCTGGCAGTGTTCAAGGCCAGGCTGGATGGGGTTCCGAGCAACCTGGTCTAGTGGAAGGTGTCCCTGCTCAGGGCAGTGGAGTTGGAACTAGACAATCTTTAAGGTCTCTTCCACCCCAACCCATTCTAGGATTCTCCTGATGCAGATCCTGGCTGACACTGGTGCTTGGTTAGCACTTCCTCCTGTCAAGGTAAAATAAGCCTTGTTGAATCATCTACGAATTCAGCATATGGTTAAAAACCTCGCACATCCAACGCAAGTATGTCTAATCTAGTCTTTTTTTTTTTTTTTGTCCCTGGAAAAGGCCTACGCTGACAGTCTCATATTTATAATTGCACTGTAGGATTCCTTTAGCATTTTTGTGGGCTTTTGCTGACTGGATGGTTTAATGGAGAGAACCTTTGGCCACCATTTCCTTGCTGTGACTACATCACGCAAGAGAAAAACAACTGGTGTGCATGCCAGTGGGGAAGAAAAAAACCCAAACCAAAATAAAAGTTGCCGTGCAAGTTACTCCAGTGCTGGATTTTTTTTCTTGTTGTTGTTTGAAGTAATTTCTCATCATCTACGTGAAGAATGTAAGGTGGAAAATTCAGGCCAAGTTGGAAATACCATGTGTGTGTGACGATACCAATAAATGCATCCTCTGCAGGATCTGTTCCCAGTTCCTCACACAGATTTCAGGATGGGAAAACAGGGAAATATTCAGCTATGGCTGAAATTAACTTCCTTGTTCCCAGTTCCTCACTGCAAAATTTTCTAAGTGAATTAATAAATTAAGGATTCTTTTTATATCAAGTTGATTGATATAAAACTGAGTTGATTCTCATTTAATGCGTTGCATACCCTAACACACAAGCATGTTACTTTCACATCCCTTTGCTTTTATTTATGGCTTAAACAGAGGTAAAATGTAAAAGACATTTATAAGATCATATGCTGAGCTGACTGGTAATCATCTTAGCTACCATAACGCACCAGCAGAATCTGTTTTACATTCTGAGTGGCTTAGGGTTTACTTTAGGTTTAATGAATGAATTGGTAGTTGTGCTGTGGTAACAAAAATAAGTCCAGAATACTTTTTAAAATACAACTGGTAGTTACAGGTATTTCATATTGTACTCAAGTCAGCACCCAATTTTTTTTCCTAAATAGCATTGAGCTGATGTAACTTAATGTAACAAAAAAACCACTTTTCGTGTCCTCAACTACATTTCAGTTGCCCTCCTTCAATGTTTTTCTATGTTGTGAGTGTTTAGCTCTATATTCCACTACCTCTGGAGGAAACTGCTGCCCTCCATTCCTGGCTGGTTCCCTTTGCATGTTCTAAAGCTCTTCATAATTTTCCTTAGTCCAGTCTATTAATTCGCATCATTTATTTAACCACAAGCGGGGATCCACGACGGGCGTGGCCGTATCGTGCATTAGGCAGGAAGCGTTTGGAGGTGATGAGCATTTGGTTGCAGTCCAGCTAAACCCCATTTTCTTCCTCCATTACTCTGTCCAGCCAAGAAGCAGGGGGACCCCAGTCGTGGTGGCTCTGGGGCTGCCCCCCAAGTGCCTTTTGAAACCCAGCTCCTGGGTGCAGAAGGGAAGTGTGGTGGGCACAACGTGCAGCTTTAGCTGCTGGGCTAGAAATCAAGCGTAGGAACAGCTACACCTGATGAGGGGTGGGAGGAATCTCTCCTTTCGCCCACGGAAAAAACTCACTAGACCTGGCACCTACGCGGCGTTAGGCACATACATACGTCGTCTGCAGGTCCGTATATAGGGGAGATCTATACGGGGTCGTGCCAGGGCCGCTGCTCCGCCCCCGGGGGGTGGCAC